GCTCAGGCAATCCACTCACTTCGGCCTCCCAAAGTGCTGGGATTACAGGTTGAGCCACCGTGCCTGGCCGTATGCATGTTTTTAAAAATTGTTTTCTGGCTGGTCACAGTGGCTTATGCCTGTAATCTCAGCACTTTGAGAGGCTGAGGCAGGAGGATCACATGAGGCCAGGAGTTTGAGACCAGCCTGGGCAACACACCAAGACTTGTTTCTACAAAAAAAAAAAAATATGAGCTGAGTGTGGTTGTATGTTCCTATAGTCCCAGCTACTCGAGAGGCTGAGGTGGTAGGATTGCTTGAGCCTCAGAGTTTCAGCTTGCAGTGAGCTGTGATTGTGCCATTCCAGCCTGGGCAACAAAGTGAAACCCTATCTCTGAAAAAAAAAAAAAAAATGAAAGTAATCGTCTCAAAAGGTGGCATGTATTTATATAAAAACTAAGAATAAAGACATTGCGGAAAGAATGTGTCCTTATTATGTTCCTTGAGTTTTCCTGCTTTTTTAAACCTTTATTGAGATAGTTTATATACCATATCACTAAGCTATTAAACATTTATAATTTGATATTTTTTAGTATATTATATTCACATGTACACCCAACCATTCCCACAGTCACAGATTTTAGTACATTTACATCATCTCAAAAAGAAATCATGTACCTTTAAGTCATTACCCTTTGTCCTCCCTGCCACTCATCCCCACCCCCAGAAACCACTAATCTGCTTTCTGTCTTTGGATTTTCCTGTTATGCACATTGTATATGAATGGACTCATATAATATATGGTCTTTTGTGACTGACTTCTTTCACTTAGTATAATATTTTCTTTTTTTGTCATTTGAGTTGGAGTCTCACTCTTGTTGCCCAGGCTGGAGTGCAGTGGCATGCTCACAGCCACTGCAGCCTTGGCCTGTTGGGCTTAGGCGATCCTTCTGCCTCAGCCTTCCAAGCAGCTGGAACTACAGACGCACGCCACTATTCCTGGTTCATTTTTGTGATTTATTGTAGAGACAAGGTCTCACCAAGTTGCCCAGGCTAGTCTCAAACCCCCGGGCTCAGGCAATCCTCTCACTTTGGCCTCCCAAAGTGCTGGAATTCCAGGCTGACCACTGCACCCGGTCAGCATAATGTTTTCAAGATTCACTCATGTATAGCATGTGTCAGTACTTCATTCCTGTTTATGGTCAAATAATATACCATTGAATGGATGTACTCAGTTATATTTATCCATTTGTCAGTTGGTAGACATTTAGCTTGTTTCTACTTTTTGGTGATTATAAATAATGCTGTTGAGAACATTCATATACAGGGTTTTGTGTGGAATTATGTTTTTATTTCTTTTGGATACATGAGTGAGAGTGGAATTGCTGAGTCATATGGTTTTTTAAACATAACTCTTATGTTTAGATGTTGGAGGAATGGCCAGACTTCTTTTTTTTTTTAATTGGAATCTCACTCTGTCACCCAGGCTGGAGTGCAGTGACATACTCACGGCCACTGCAGCCTTGACCTGCTGGGCTCATGCGATCCTTCTGCCTCAGCCTTCTAAGTAGCTGGAATTACAGGCACACGCCACCAAGCCTGTCTGATTTTTGATTTATTGTAGAGATGAGATCTTGCCAAGTTACCCAGGCTGGTCTCGAACCCATGGGCTCAGGCAGTCCTTGGCCTACCAAAGTGCTGGGATTATAGGTGTGAGCCACCGCGCCCAGCTTAATGGCTAGACTTTCAAAGTGGCTGCATCATTTTTACATTCCTTGCAGAGGTGTTATGTTAGGATTTTTACATTCCTTGCAGAGGTGTTATGACTTTCCTTTGAAAGTCTAGCCACTCTCACTCATGTATCCAAAAGAAATAAAAACATAATTCCACACAAAACCCTGTATATGAATGTTCTCAACAGCATTATTTATAATCACCAAAAAGTAGAAACAAGCTAAATGTCTACCAACTGACAAATGGATAAATATAACTGAGTACATCCATTCAGTGGTATATTCACATTTTCACATTTTCACTAGCAATGGTATATTCAATGGTATATTCACATTTTCACTAGCACTTGGACCTTGTCTCAAAAACATTTTCTTTACAGTTTTAGCTCTTACATTTATGTCTTTGTTCTATTTTGAGTTAATGTTTGTATATGGTGTGAAGTAAGGATTCAGCTTTCATCTTTTCCATGTGGTTTTCCAGTTGATCTTGCACTATTTTTAGAAAAGCCTTGTTTTTCCCCATTGGATGATCTTGGCATGTCTATTGAAAATTAGTTGACCATAGAACATGGTTTCATTTCTGGACCTCCACTTTTAAAACTGGGAAGTGTAAGTCCTCTTATTTTGTTCTTCTTTTTCAAGATTGTTTTGGCTATTCTGAGTCCCTTGCAATTCCATATGAATTTTAAAATCATCTTGTCAATTTCTGAAAGGAAACCTGCTAGGGATTTTGCTAAATCTGTAGATCTATTTGGGGAATGTTGCCATTTTAATAATATTGTCTTTTGATTTATGCGTCTTTTCATTTAGTTAGGTCTTCTTTATCTTATTTCTACTGTGTTTTTGTGTTTTGTAGTTTTCAAAGTGTAAGTTTTGCACTTTGTTAAATTAAATTTTTTTTTTTTTTTTTTTTTTGAGTCTGGGTCTTTCTGCTCCCAGGCTGGAGGGCAGTGGCATGATCATGGCTCACTGTAGCTTCTACCTCCTGGCTGAGGTGGAAGGACCACCTCAGAGAAGCTGGGACTACAGGTGTGTACCACCATGACTGGCAATTTTTTGACTTTTTGTAGAGATGAGCTCTCACTATGTTGCTTAGGCTGGTCTCAAACTCCTGGTCTCAAGCAATCCTCCAGCCTTGACCTCCCAAAGTGCTAGGATTATCAGCATGAGTCATTGTGCCTGGCCTATTAAATTTATTTCT